TAAAGTGTAAGAGTTATGTTGGAGAGGCAAGGAGAAAAAAGTTACATATGCAGGATGAAGAAAGATTATGGGGAAATTTATTTAAGGTGTACTTCATGTAACATGATGTTAATAACTCAAGTAGGCTTTTGAGAAGAAAAATAAATGACAAAACAGCGTGAGAAGAGTAGTGTGGTTTTAAAAGCACCAAATTCTGAGTCAGGGGACCTGGATGCTGTATCTAATTCAGTCACTTACTGGTGGTGACTATCTGTGTAAGCTTCACTTTCCCAGTAATGATGATAACAAATATACTTTGCATATCTTACAAAGATTAAACGGCATAAGTAATAAATAAACACATAAGTTTTATATTCATTTATATAGAAGCTCTATATCGGTTTAAAGAAGTATCCCTTTTTTGTTTTTGCTGGTGGCATTTACATAACATGTTATTACATGTAATTTTTTATTGAGATATAATTGACATATGACACTGGGTAAGTTTTAAGTTATACAGCATGTATTGATTTGTTACACTCACATCCTGCAATATGATTACCACCTTAGCGTTAGCTAACACTTCCACGTGTATTCCTAACATCCCTGCAGAACTCAAGTCAGTTTTAGCCTGGCAGCAGTAACCAGAATGAACTGATGCGGGGGAGAGCCTGAAGTCAGTTAGCTAAGAAATGAAAGCAGGAGTCCAAGTATGAGTTGCGGGAGCAGTCACGTGAGCAAAATGCAAGGACTGGGCATAGCTACCTGGAGAGGGGTGGGAACACTGAGGGAAGACATAGTATCGAGGAAGAGGAGCTAGATGCTATTCGTATCCGGGACCTGATTCTGTCTTTCTCCTTCAGGTCCTGAGTTGTGGCTTCTGTTCTCCTGCTCATGGCCTCGTGGCTACAACGTCTTCAGGTGTTACACCCATTTCTTGGCAGGAGGCAAGAGGAAGACCCAGGGTGAAGAGGCATGAGCTCAGCGTGTCTTCTTACAGAAGGAAAGGCAACGCTTCTCTGAAACACTCACCCTTTAAACTTTCACTTTTATCTTTATCCAAACCTGTACTGCTGGGCCAACCCCGGCTGGAATGTGACTAGTGAGAAAGAAACTGTGGATAAAAGTTGGGTGAAGCAATCATCAGCATTTGTCCAGAGCCTGTCCTCAGAGACTGTTGAGATATTAAACAAAATGTTTTATCTGTAAGGCTTGTCCCATGGTCTATAGGACACAGTAGTAGCTGCTCAAAAATAATGTCAGGTCCTAATACAGTACCATCACACCAAAATATCTGAGTGCCTACCAAGTAGATGGCAGCTGCTACATTCTGGAAAGAAAGCATTGAACAAGATATGACTTCTGAAGGATGTCTGCTCTAGACCTGCAAGAGATGGTGGTTTGAAGCTCAAGTAGAAATGTGTCACACGTGACTCAAGAGAGTCAGGGAAGGAAATCATGATTTTATAGTGAAAATCACAGAGTCTAGTGCTGAACTATGAGAGCATTATTATAGAAATAGAAAACTAGAACTCCTAGGACTGGACTTTAAAAATAGTAAGACAAAAAGGAGCCGCCACAGTTGTGAGGAGCAAACTTGAATGATGCAGTTACGGAAGCCAAGAAAAGAATGAGTTTTAGCGAAGAGTTAAAAGCACCAAATTCTACAGAGAAGTCGAGGAGCAAGAGGCTAACATGGACCTCCACTGAGATAGGACTGACTGTGAGAAAGCGGGAAGTCAGAGTGTTTAGAACAAAGCCTCAGGTAAGAGCAACAAGGAATCATGGGGGAGAAACAGAGGAACTTCCAAGAAGCAGCAAGCGCCACAGGCTACCTGCAAGCAGTGTCTGTCCATCAAGGCTGCATCTTCCTACGTGTGAAAGTGTTTGCTTTCTCAGTAATGTCCAACTCTTTGCGACCCCATGGACTGTAACCCGAAAGGCTCCTCTGTCCATGGGATTCTCCAGGCAAGAATACTGGAGTGGGTTGCCATGCCCTCCTAGAGGGGATCTTCCCGACCTAGGAATCAACCCGGGTCTCCTGCATTGCAGGTGGACTCTTTACCATCTGAGCCACCAAGCTATTGTGTCTTCTTAGGGGTAGAATTAGGGGTGGAAATCTTTTCTTTTTTTCCCCTAGGAATTTAAAGAGAGGTGTGGATAAAGTCATCTCAGCAGTGACTGTCGATTGGGGATTGAATTGAAGGCTTATTTAAAATTGAGACGTTAGGTATCTAGACTGACGGGTAGGAACCACGAAAGAAGAGGTCCAGAGCATTCAGGTGGTAGAAGATGATGCCGTCGAGGAAGTGAGAAGACAGGGCAGAACAGAAGGGGAGTTAGGAGGAAGTGAGAAGACAGGGCAGAACAGAAGGGGAGTTAGGAGAGTGAGAGGTACTGAGAAGTGGGTCACATGGAGGAAAAGAGGAGGCAAAATACAGGTGACGCAGCCGTGCTTACCACCTCCAAGACTTCAGAGATGTGGCGATGGCACGCAATTCTGTAGTGTGACAGTGTATGTGCAGCGAAAGCGGGGTGCTGAACATGTGACAATTACGGGTTTGTGATGCTTACTTTACGCAGGGTCAGCAGGAATGCCAGGAGAAGGACGGGGAGGATGAGGAGCTGAGTATTTGTAAGCATGAGGTCTAGACTAGACACAAGTCTGACTCCCAGCTATACTGCTCAACCACTGCTTATCTTTGGACCAGTTACGCGATCCCCATAAGCTTCATTCTGCTCCACTGTAGCACAGAAACAATAACAGCAGACAACTCTTAAAGTGTCACGACAATTCAATGAGTAAGGCATGCAAAATACCAAAACAGAGCAGTTAATTGCCCAGAGAATGTTAGGAATTTCCTCAGGAATATAAAAATCAAATATGGGGAGCCCTAAGGGGTGGCAGTGATGACTCAGAAAATCAGTGCAAAGGCACATGAGGGATTTTGAAAGATAAGGAATGGGAGGAACCAGGCAGTATCATGGAAGGATCTCTGAAAAATCTAGGACTCTATTGCAAAGAGCAGAGACAGGTATCTGTTAAGACAGAAAAGCGAAGGAAGAAATGAAAAGGAAACCAAGGCCTAAGACAAAGGGAATTTCCCCAGTTTCAATCAGACACTTCTTAAGTCACAAAAACAGGGGGGAAAGGAGAATACAAAGCAGGTGGGGAAATGCACAAAGAGATGAGCATGAAAATTTTAGCTGTCACAGGCCCTGGAAAGGATTAGAAGTTTCTATCTCCTCTCTCCATTAAGACTGATCAAGTGACTCCATTTAAAAAAAAAAAAAAAGCATCTGTTCCTCAAATAACCAGGGCCTGAGTGTTTGTGATCTGTTATCCCAAGAAAACATAAAGTCAGAAGCGAAGATCACATGGGACATCATCCCATATGTGCTCATCGAGGCCAAATAAGCTTTCACAGAATACACTGGGCAAAACACTACATAGAGCATTTTATCTGGCTCCTTTTTTTTCCTATCATTCTTTTTCCATTACCACACTCAGGCCTCAAATATGTTTAATCAGTCATGGTTCAAAATTAATGAGCTATTTGGTCTTGACCTGCTAATGGTATAGATTATGCTTTCCACTCAAAAAATATTGTTTACTGTGTTATGTAAGTGGAAGTATTCTGCTGAAATACAGAACAAGGGAGAATATCCTGCTATGGAATTTATAAAATTATGAAAAATCTATCTTGACTATCCCCAATACAGACATCCACCCACCTTAGCTGTACATTCACCTGTTTCTATTTTGTTTGAGGGACTTTTCAGGCGATTCAGTGGTAAAGAACTGGCCTGCCAAGCAAGAGACACAGGTCTGATCCCTGGGTCAGGAAGGTCCTTGGAGAAGGAAATGACAACCACTCAGTATTCTTGCCTGGAAAACTCCCATGGAGAGAGGAGCCTGGCAGACTACAGTCCATGGGGTCACAAAGAGTTGGACACGACCTAGTGACTAAGCAAAAATTTTGTTTGAAGGTCTTCCACCCCATGTTTATCTGCTGCTCTACTGGTAGATTTTCCTGAACTGGAGAGCTTTTAGTGTTCTGTTTATTCACTGCCATCCAAAAGCAAGAGTTGCCACAAGTTTCATGTTGCCTCATGGTGGTCTCTATGAGATTATGCTGGAACATTTGGGGGAGAAAATCTACCTGTAGGGCACATCATTTGCATATGAGTACCTAATACCATTGCAATAAGTGGAAATCACAGCCTTCCAGCACAAAAACCAGCTAGCAAAACATTGCCATCAGCAAAATATTGAGACTTAAACTGACTGCACAAGATAGAAGAGAATGAAAGGGCCAGTCACTGAAACGCTGGGGCTTTCATCTTTTCCGAGATCCTGTATGTTCATGGGTCTCTCTATACTCTTCTTTGTTACATTTTATAAAAATCATTTTCAGGTTTTGGAAAATGTGAGCAGGTTTTTAAAAAATGAGTTACATGGAAGAAAGAACAGCAACTAAGGTTTTTGTGGTTAATTTGATTAGACTTCCAGTAGGAAGTATTTAGTTTATCTGCACATAGAAAATGAATATTAAAATATTCATACCCCAAGGCTACCAGAAAAAAAAAAAGTAGCTAACAGCTGTTGGTCTAAAATGTGGTTTTATTATGCAGAGATTGGAATAAGCTTGTAATTGTGAATTACAGCTCGAGCAGTTTTAAAAAATGTTGAATAGGTTTTCTAACCCCAACATTTAATATCAGTTTTCTGTTAAGAAATAGAGTGTTTACACCATTTCCCTCAATGAGCTTTCAAGTGGTATCAGCAAGAGCAGACTCACTCCTGCTCACCTCAAAGGGATATGAGCAGTAGATCTTTCCCGTGAATTCCTTAACGATTTATTTTTCCTAAAGCGGGCTCAAAAATCTTGTACTGAATCTGTGTTCCAAACTATGAAAGCCTCCCCTTTAATATTTCTTTTAGATCAAAAGACACAGTTAATACCAGAAAACAAGGCTTTAAAAAATTATTTTGGGTCCCGCTTGTCTACGTCGCTTAGGAGTGCAGTCAAGACGCCTCGTGGAAGCCGAAGCGGCACTTCCCGCGTGGCCCTCCTGCCAGCCGCGCGCCTCAGATGAGAGCAGCGCCCAGGCCAGCGCCCGCAGCTCAGCCACCAGCAGTGGCTCCAGCATCTGCTGCTGCTCCCCGGCAGCCAGGTCTGATGGCCCAGATCGCAACCGCTGCTGCTGGCGTGGCTGTGGGTTCTGCCGTCGGCCACACTCTGGGTCACGCCGTCACTGGGGGCTTCAGTGGAGGAAGCAGTGCTGAACCCTCAAGGCCTGATACCACTTACCAGGAACCTCAGGGAACCCAGCCGGCACAACTGCAGCAGAATGGCCCCTGCTTCTATGAGGTGAAACAGTTTCTGGAGTGTGCCCAGAGCCAGGGTGACCTTAAACTTTGCGAGGGTTTCAGCGAGGTGCTGAAACAGTGCAGACTGGCCAATGGATTAGCTTAATCAAGAAGTTCCAGTTGAAGACATGAAAAATCACCTCTTGTGACCATGTTGATTTAGCATTTAAAATATAATTAATAGTGAAGATGTGAACTGTGAGACCACCCGTTAAACCTCTTCTTAATCATTAATAGCTTTTGTTCTTCACAATTGCAGTGGAAGAGGGCATTGTCACTATATAGAAGTTCATTGAGATGGTATTGAGTTTGGGATTGGGCAGAAGAGTTGGTTGTGGCCTCTGAAGCGTGCTTTTCTGATGTTATTGTTTGTGATTTAATTAGAATAAAGTGATTTTCTTTCTAAAAAAAAATTATTTTGATTGACAACACAGATGACATACATTCTACACACATGTATTAAACACAGATGACACATGTTTTACCTACACGTATTGTTTTTGGATGGGATACAGCTATAATGAAGAAAGTATTTTTTAATGGAGCTACAATATCAGGTTAACAAAACAAGGTATGATAAGTAAAATAATTTCCTTATTTCAAAATTACTGAAATTAGACAAACATTTGTAAATTGCTTTCTAATGGGAAAAAATAAGATAATCTCTTTTCCTATTGTTCAGTCAACAATCCACTGAGAGTTGAGACATTATTATTTGAAGCAGTTTAAGAAATATAACCCCTACTACATACACACACCGGCACACACACTTAACATATAAGCAAATTATACAGAACAGGAGAGCAAATCATAAAACCGATTCCCCTTCTATCCCTTCTCTTGTCCCTCCTCCATTATAAGCTGTTAAGAAGCTGGAAAGATTGTTATGGGAGAAAAAAGAGATAAAATATTATTAAACAAAGTGCACTGTGATTGAGAGAAGTTTTTGCATTAATATGACACATTTTATTAAGAATTCAAAGTATTTTAAAAATATTTTCTGAGATTAAGTGTTATTATCCTTTCTTAAAGACCAAGAAAATGAGGCATGAAAATGATGTACTAGATCCAAGATGAACAATAGCTAAGTATTACAGAAAACAAACAAAAATGATGAGAAACTCTTTGCCCATTCTTTGCTGTGATATGAACTTTCCAGTAAAGTGTGTGTAGCTTAGGACAATGGGCCACATTCCCAGGCCACTTTTTCCTTTTTCTACACACTTTCTCCCTAAGATGCATCTATAAAACAAAAGGGAAACCCACCTCCTGACTTTCCCTTGGCCTCTACCTCATGGGGCAGACAAGGATGAAAAGGAACAGACACTCAGAGACCCTGCAACTCTTCCTGGAGCTTCAACCAACACCTTTTGATGCCAGCTTTACTACATGCAAACGAAAGGAAGAATGGAAAAAATTATCTGTGTACTATTTTCTAATAATCAGGATCATGATTTTAAAATCACTTTGACAGTGAAGCTGTATCTTTTGAGTATGGTTTTCTCTGGGTATAAGCCCAGCAGTGATAGGATTGCAGGGTCATATGGTGTTCTGTTTTTAAACAAAAAGGAACAAAACTGGGTCATCTGTAAAGATGCGGATGGACCTAGAGAGTGTCACACAGTAAATCAGAAAGAGAAAATAAAGAGTGAAGTCAATCAGAAAGAGAAAAAAATCGCCTTCTAACACATACATGTGGAATCTAGAAAAATGGTATAGATGATTCTATTTGCAAAGCAGAAATAGAGAGAGACACAGGTGTAGAGGATGAATGTACGGACACCAAGGGGGAAAGGGGAAGTGAGAGGAATTGGGAGATAGGGATGGATACGTATACACTACTGATACCATGTGTAAAATAGATAACTCTTGGGAGCATGCTGTGTAGCCCAGGGAACTCTATACTTAATGGACTGTGGGGACCTGAATAAAAAGGAGGTCCAAAAGAGACGGGATAAATGTATATGCAGAGATGATTCATTTTGCTCTACAGTAGAAACTAACAAAACATTGCAAAGCAACCATACTCCAATAAAAATTAATTCTAAAAAATACAGTAGCTGAATTTCAGGAGGAGCCAAAGAGAAGAAGGTCATCCTCATTCTCTTTTCATGTGACACCTTTTAAAAACTGCACCGTTCAGTGCCCTTGCGCTGTTCCTGGAATGGAGCCATGTCTTCAACACTGTAGAAGATCTCAACTCCGCTAAGGATCAGAAGGAGTGAGAAGACACACTTCAAACTTCTGAAGGAGTTATCTAAAAGATGCTGACTTCTGTTTATCCTCTGAGTCTCCCTCGCTTGTATTAATCGAACACCTGTCTTTGAAGACAGAGCTCCACTGCGCAGACATCCTCCACTCTTTTAATTGAGCCCCTTTGGGGGAAAGTATCGTTTAAATATAACAATATATTCAGTACCCTAAAATAATTTGATCTATAATAAATTCTTAAGCAAGGGAGGAAGACCAGCCTGGGGACCCTGGGAGGGGAAGATTGCCAGGTACTAAGTCAGAGCTTCACAAGAAGTGGTAGAAGCTCTTTCCCGGGAGACTTTTAAAAATAGAATAGACAGCCCTCTGCATACAGTGGTGTAGGAGGCCCCATTATACTTTGTTATTAAGGAACTTCACTACAGGTTTCCTTAGGCTTGATTTAAAAAAAAAAAAAGTGGGAGCAGGGGAAGGGAATGCCATCGAATGCAAGGAAAATTCAGTTTAAGAAAGGCCTTCAACAGTGAATGAAGTCTGTTCCCTCTCATATGAATTCTCAGATTTTCCATATTTAATTTTAAGGATAAAATCTTAAAGGGATTTAAATTCTATTATCTTTTTGATTGCACTGCTTTACATTTTTATCTATTATTTTGTTCAGCATATCAGGCTGTTTTCAGAACTTCAGAACGACTGGGTCAAGAAGAAATTGAAAGTTGTTTGGATATTTCACTTTTTTGTCCTCCTTTAACTTCATAATTCCCTATATAACTGAAGATATATATATAGAAGCATACCTACACATAAGTAGTTTGATTATAGCTTTTCAAGGAAAGTTAAAAACATTTTAAGTATATATAATTTTTTAATTAATAAACTATGGAATATATTTCTCACGAATTCCACAAGACTTTCTTCTTTAATCATGATTCATGACATCATTAATACACCCATTTGAGGCAGATCTTTTCACATTAATAAATAATAATAAGGAAAATTACTTTTCCCAACTCTGTCACCCACATTTACCCAGGGCAGCAGAAAGACAAGTCACTTCTTGTTATCTCCACCGAGGTCTTGGGCCATTTTTTACCTTTAGATTTGGAAGCATGTATTTGAGACCTTCCAAAGACAATTGAGATTTCTTCTGCATTCCTGATTAGCCTTATCATTTATTTCTTAATTGAAATACATATTAAATAGCATTTAAATAGCTTTTCTTGAAAGTAAGCTGGGTATTTTGGACAGATAATGTTAGCTAAAAAATAGTACTCATATGATATATCCCAGTAACTTCTGTATGCGTGTGTTCAGTCGCCAAGTCGTGTCCGACTCTTCGTGATCCCATGGACAGCAGCAGGCCAGGCCTCCCTGTTCCTCACCTTCTCCCAGTGTTTGACCAAGTTTATGCCCATTGAATCGATGATGCCATCCAACCCTCTCATCCTCTGTCACCCTCTTCTCCTACTGCCTTCAATCCTTCCCAACATCAGGATCTTTTCCAGTGAGTCAGCTCTTCCCATCAGGTGGCCAAAGTACTGGAGCTTCAGCTTCAGCATCAGTCCTTCCAATGAGTATTCAGGGTTGATTTCCTTTAGGATGGACTGATTTGATCTCCTTTCTGTCCAGGGGACTCTCAAGAGTCTTCTCCAGCACCACAGGTCAAAAGCATCAATTCTTCAGCGCTCTGCATTCTTCACAGTTCAACTCTCACATCCATACATGACCACTGGAAAGACTGCAGCCTTGACCATATGAACCTTTGTTGGTAAAGTGATGTCTTTGCTTTTTAAGACACTGTCTATGTTTGTCATAGCTTTTCTTCCAATAAGCAAGTGGGGTTTTTTTTGCTCGTTTTGTTTTGTTTTTAATTTCATGGCTGTAGTCTCCATCTACAGTGATTTTGCAGCTCAAGAAAATAAAATTTGTCACTGCTACCACGTTTTCCCCTTCTATTTGCCATGAAGTGATGGCACTGGGTGCCATATTCTTCGTTTTGTTGTTGTTGTTGTTTTTAATGTTAAGCTTTAAGCTGGGTCTTTCACTCTCCTCTTTTCAACCTCATCAAGAGGCTCTTTTAGTTCCTCTTTGCTTTCTGCTGTGAGACTAGTATCATCTGCATATCTGAGGTTCTTGATATTTGTCCCAGTAATCTTGATTCCAGCTTGCAATTCATCCAGCCTGGATTTTGCATGATGTGCTCTCCATATAAGTGAAATAAGCAGGGTGACAATAAACAGCCTTGCAGTACTATTTTCTCAGTTTTGAATCAGTCAGTTATTCCATCCATATGAGCTTCTAACTATTGTTTGTTGACCCTCATACAGATTTCTCAGAAGACAGGTAAGACAGCCTGGTATTCCCATCTCTTTAAAGAGTTTCCCACAGTTTTTTACGATCCACACAGTCAAAGGCTTTAGCATAGACAAGGAACAACTTCTACAAAGTTCAATAAACTGTTGTAAAGGATCCAGCAAATTCACCGTTTTCATAAGTTTCTACACATATAAAGTATTTGTTCTTTAAAATGCAGCTATAGCACTTTAAAATGCAGCTATATACAGCTCCAAGATCACTGCGGATGGTTACTGCAGCCATGAAATTAAAAGACACTTACTCCTTGGAAGGAAGGTTATGACCAACCTAGATAGCATGTTAAAAAGCAGAGACATTACTTTGCCAACAAAGGTCCGTCTGGTCAAGGTTATGGTTTTTCCAGTGGTCATGTATGGATGTGAGAGTTGGACTGTGAAGAAAGCTGAGCACCGAAAAATTGATGCTTTTGAACTGTGGTGTTGGAGAAGACTCTTGAGAGTCCCTTGGACTGCAAGGAGATCCAACCAGTCCATCCTAAAGGAGATCAGTCCTGGGTGTTCACTGGAAGGACTGATGCTG